CATCTTTAACTGAAACTAGAAACTTTTCTGATGAGTTAGAAGTTCTAAAATATACTTTAATACAATGAAAGGTAAACATTCTTTTAAATGAGTCTATAAGTATCTATCTGATATGTTATCGTCAGAGACGACATCAGTGATTTAGTTGTAACTTTATTATTATTGATACCTGCTGATTTATTCATCTGAACGATGCTGTTGAAAACTTTTTTGGATATCCATTTTCCATTAAAACATGTTTTACTATAAAAATCTCATCCTCTAAATCATTAGGAACTGTTACGTTTCTCGCTCTATTTAGTAGGTTCAATGCTACAGTAGCTCTCATGTTAACTGTGTGATCTGACTGGAAATATAAATATTTACCGGAACGTGCTGGCTTTCTGCATTTCCTTAGACTAAATGTACCTTCATTGGGTATTTGAATAAAACAATCTAAAATTTTTAGAGTCCTATCCTTAGATTCTAGTTCATTTTTGGATTTTATCGAGTGTGAAACAGTTAGTTTACTTTCAGAAAAATAACAAACATACCAACCACATTATTATTATTATTTTCCTAGTGAAAAATAGAGCTTCAGTAGCACGTCTCCATTTCATTCACTTCACTCCATTCCTTTTAACCTCACCCCACCACTTTCCATAAGCTTTTATTTCTTACTCACGTGATCTCCTCCATGTCACCTTCAGCTGGGACGCCCAACTCATCGTTTCCCCTTCGCATTCCACTCCATGGCCGGGTCTGGTGCGTGATGACCCTACTCGGCCTTCTCAGTGTACGCCCAATACAATCCATCTCCACTTTCTTCCACTGCATATTTGTTGGGCGATGGGTTCTTGGTCGGTTCGTTCCCACAGTTCCTTGTTGCGTATTCTTTCTGACCACCTGATCTTCAGTATAAAATGGGCGAAGGCGGCAGCTGTTGATGAATGTCTGTAGTTTGTTGGAAGTGCTTCTCCTAACTCTCCAAGTCTCTCAACCATCATACAGAAGCAGTGACTTCACATCGCGGTTGAAAATCCCGATCTTGTTCACGCTTTATGCTGAGTGCAGTGGAGTGGAGTAGATCTCCATACTGATTTCAGATTAATGCAGGAAGGCCTGTCTTGCTGTCTTTCCGATCCTGGCTGGTTTGACATCCTCATCTGTGCCACCACCGTCTGCAGTTGAAACGATGCTGCCTTGACTAGTAGGTGAAAGAGACAACTTCCTTTAGGTTTCTCCTAATCATGGTGATTGGTGCTTCTTGTTGTTGTTGCTAGTGGTGGCGGTGGCGGTGGTTGAGTATCCTCATCACCTCCATCTTCTCTACATTCACCTGAAGTCCCGTCTTCGCTGCCTCGTCTCGTCTCCCTCCTCCTCTTGTGTCAACTTGTTGGTTTCTGCCTGTAGATCTTCGAGTTTGTATGACAGGACATCAGACATAAATCATCATCGGTGGCGAAATCTAAATCTTCTCCTGGGGTCTTTTCATCAGTCCACCCAGCGTATGCCCCTCTTCTCACAGCTCCTCATGGTTTGCTGCATGATCCAGTCGACCACAATCAGGAAGATCATAAGTGATGGTAGGTGACAGCCTTGTCTTACTCTTATCCCTGTCTTCACTTCAAAGGCGTCACTGAGCTTCCCATTATCGATCACTTGGCATATGGAGTCTTCATTTAGCTGTTGAATGAGATTGATAAAGGTTTGTGGCACTGAAACTGTAGTGTTGAAGCAGCTGCCTGCCAAATTACTTCTCGGTAGATGCCGTCGAAGGCCCTTTCAAAGTAGATGAAGATGAGGTGTAGTTGAGTTGACTGCCATTCTATACTCTGTTCTATGATGATGCATAGTGTAGAGTTGCAATTTGATCCTCATATGATTTGTTCCTCCTCAAGTCAGCCAGCCAGCCAGCCTGTTCCGGTCGCAATTTTGAATCCAGCGCATCCTTGAGTCTCTCCAGGATGATGCGGCCTAATATTTTGCTTGCCTCGGGTGGAAACGAGTGGAGCATGATTCCTCGCCAGTTCTTGCAAATATTGAGGTCCCCCTTCTTCGATAGTTTGACATGGTAGCCATTCTTCCAAACTATTGGCAGGTACCTTTCCTTCCTTCCTTCCTTGCGAACCTTCTGCAGTAGTGGTATGAGCATGTTCGATGCTGTTGTATCTGTGTCTGTTTTCAGTGCTCCTAGCGGAATCCCATCTGGTCCTGCTGCTTTCCCGGATTTCAGCAGCTTTATAGCGTTCAGGACTTCACTTCCGCTTTTGTCGGAGGGCTTCTGTCCACTCTTAGTTCTTTGGCTAGTCTGCTAGTGGTATTTCTGGACGAGTTGCAGGTGGTGGTAGTCGATTCAAGAGTTTTTTTTGAAGTGATCATCCCATTGTTTCATTTGTTTTTACTCTTTAGCGGTAACTAGGTTTCCTTCACTATCCCTCTTTGGTTTCATCTGCGCTGATCTCTTCCCAGATAGTAACCCGGTTCTTTGATATTATATTGCCAGGTCTCTTCTACCTGCGGCCTGTTCTGTTTCATTTGCCAATGTGTCGTAGAAGTGTCTTTTGTCGTTGCGCGCACTCTCCTTCACTTCTTTGTCCAATGTAGTGTTTTATAGATTGTGTTCACTTCCTCTTTTCGTTGTTCATCCCTGCACTACCCTGGTTGTTCATCTTCTGACTCACAATCTTCCTCTCCCTCTCCCTCTCCCTCCTCTATCAACTTCCATGTATCCGTCGAGATCCATTCCTCATCTTGTCTTCTTTCTTCTTCCTTCCTAATACGCTTGTGCAGGTTTCTTTCCACATAGCTCTCAAAGACTTCCAGTGTTCATCCACACAGATATCTTCAGGGATGTTCCTCAAAATCTCCCATTTTGTCTTGATGGCTGGCTGATGTGAAGATGTCCTTTGTAGTTTCGCCCTTCAGTTCAGTTTCTTTTCTGGGTGGTTGTTCAACTTGAACTGTGGTCTATCACCAGCTTCTTCTTCGAAGGCTTTCAACTTGATTTGGAAGGTAGGTTACTTGCACTAGATAGTGAAGTGAGTGGTGTGAACCTACACCTGCTCCTCTTCTTGGCCTTGCGTCAAGTAGGCTGCGTCTCCACTTTCTTCACATTGAGATAAAGTCGATCTGATTTTTAGTGTAATGTGTCCTGGTGTCTGGTGAAATCCATGTTGCTTTGTGGATATCCTTGTGCTTGAACACAGTACCTGACTCCAATCACCAAATCGTTGAATACACAGAATTCTGCAAACAATTCTCCATTCTCGTTCATCACCTCACCGAGCGCTTCTCGACCCATGGTTTATTCCCTTCCTGTGTTGTCTCCTCCCAGTTTGACATTCACGTCACCCCACCCATTAGAATTTTGATGTCGCCAACTGGGGTGTGGTATTGTCCAGTACTGATTGCAGTTGTCTGTAGAATTACTCCTTCCCTTCATCTCCATTATTCGCAGGTGCGCAGCGTAGCATTGTATGATTGTGACTTTCCTTCTTCTTGAGTTGAATCTTACTGTCATGATCCTGCAGAAGGAGATTGATTTCCGCTGCGTGAGAGGCTTTGATGCTGTTGGAGACATCATGATAGCCACTCCACAACTCAATGTGCTCATGGCTGTTGTCTGGGTGACAATATCGAAGTAGAGTCAAGAGTTTGTTGAGTCCACTTCCATTCCATCTACTTTCACAGATTCCTAGCACTTCTATCATACTTCTCATCTATTTTGCAATCTGAGCAGCCTTGCTAGGTTCAACATGGTGCGGATATTCCATGTCCCCATTCTTACTTTCGCTTTCATTGAGTGAGATATGACACATAGACCGACTGGCTTCGCAAAGACTTTCACCAACTGGCGTCATTTCGCCTCCCTCATTCCAGCGAGGAATAATTTTGCTTTCATTTTTTATAGTTTCTTGTGCTTTTATCAACCACATACCTACATCAAATCCTGGACTTGTATTGGGAATTATTCAATACTGTCTCTTCTAAAACCTTAATGTCAAGATTCCTCACAATCAGAGATGCCGGTGAACCTGTTGCAACTCCGTTTCTCTGACGGCGCATTCTACCTTTGAACGTGAAATATGTGAATTCGAAGTATGGCTTCAAAGATCCTATAGTGTTCTCTAGTGAAAGTTAACATTCAGATAATAGATCTTGGTTATTGATTGCATTCCTTACAGTATCTAGACACTCAAACATTGGTGTCCTAATGAAAAGGGAATTCACACCGAAAATTGCCATAATTTTATTTGCTCTTATGCTGATATTTATCACTTCATCGTTGAAATCTTGAGCATTTTTAACACTTGAAAAGATGCTTCACTAAAATGCCTTCAAAATTCTTAAAAAATAATTTTGTGAGTGATAAGTTATCGAATTTGTAAAATCAGTAATTGGCCTGAATGGGATCATACTTTTGTGGATTTTTGGTAGAAAGTAGAATCTAGAAGCTAAGTTAGATGAGCTAATGAAAACCATGTTGCATTTCTAAGTTGTTCCAAGCTGGTAAACTAGTCTTCTTACAACTGTTAATTTATATAAAGTAAAACACATTATATACCTAATGTTAAAAGTGAAATATCTTATGGTGACTGAAATGCAGAAATCAATGCCTCAAGCACTTTACACTCAAAAATATCACCACATGAAGCACTTTAAATAGCGCAAGTGACTAGAAGTACTAAACTTCAAAAACACTAGATAACAAGTTCAACTAGTCAGTAAATATGATGAATGAACACATTTCTAACATATTAGATGGATTCTAGTTGGAATTTAACTATGATACACAAAAATGCAAGTGTTTATAGTGATGGCAAACGCTACTTGCAAATCCCGAAGAATGTAAAGACTATTATTTGAATGAGGCGGCTTACTTACTGGATCGAGTAGCATTTAATACTAAACTATAGACAAACAGAGGATGTAAAATCAGTGAAAACCAAAATGAGAAAATATATACCTTTTAATGATTAAAGAAACAAATATTTTTTAGTTCAAAATACTTAACATTTTTAATCGTGTTGCTCAGTATGTGGTACACTACCCATACGTTGGGGATTTTGACTTGGATAATGGATACCCAATGCTCCATCAGCTGGCATACTTTTGCCAGACTTCGGTTCATTTGACGAGGCCGTTTTATTGGTCTTTGATCCAAGAGGAGGAGGGGGTGGTGGTGGAGGCATAGGTAACAAAGTTGTTGAGTTGGAGTCATGGGTAGTAGGTGGTGGTGGTGGGGGCGTTTGTAACAAGCTCGTAGGACGTACCATGAATTGAGGAAGAGGCGGTGGTGGTGGGTTACGCATAAACAGTTCTGAAAAAAAAATTGAAAAAGGGTACATTCAGAAAAATCAATGCTGGTTCAACAAACAGAAAGTTTGGGTGAGAAAAAGGGTGATTATAAATGCTATCCTGGGAATGACTAAAATAGTTAATCAAGTTTTTTTTCTGTTGTAAACAGAGACTTTCATAAAATAGAGATGTTGAATTGGTTATTTCGGTTGTTGTCAGAGTGGTCACTTGAGAAAAACAAGACAAAGTTCATCGGTGGGAATGACAAAGAAAACTTTTATTTTTCCGGGCTGTGTACTCTGTTGGTAAGTTGACCTTAATTTATTACCACACGTGTAATGCTAAAAGAGAAAAGTCTTATTGTGATTATCATTGGGATATGATTGTAATAATACGACAGTTACGCGATAGGCACGCTTATTCCTATAACAGAAATCATAGGAATCTCGTACCATACTGAAAACATTCTTACACTCATGTCTCTATATGTTGGGGTACATCACATGAAAAAATCCTATTGTTGAAGGAATAGTAAGTTACAACTGTATTTTTGATGCATGCACTACTATATTTCGAATTCTTTTACAATTGAAACTTCGGTTTTTTGGTCTAGGCATTCAAAATTCAACCCGTAAGTCACGGGTTTAAAACCTAATTTATCTGAATACGTTCGTAAAACAATGTGAAATAAATAATCGTCGCACATTAAAATATGGAGCTCTACGCCCTCACTGAGTTGTAATGCCCAAATCACATCACCTTATAATGGTGCTCTCATGTACACATCGAGGTCAGATTTCAAATGCTATAGTGAAAACTTATTGTGGTTGCAAATATGCACGCTTAAAAGACAGGTGATGAAACAAGTAGCACATTTAAACCATTTTGTATTCGGTACCTAGGGGAGAGACATTCTTATGCACTACTGAGGAGTTCCGTAATAGGATGAAACAGCTCTACAGTTCTTTCAGGTTTCAAATGGATGATGAAAAGACCCCAGGAGAAGATTTGGATTTCGCCACCGATGATGATTTATGTCTGATGTCTTGTCGCACAAACTCGAAGATCTACAGGTGAAAACTAGCAAGTTGACGGAAGAGGCGAGGCAGTGAAAACGGGACTTCGAGTTAACGTGGAGAAGACAGAGGTGATGAAGATACCCAACGAGCAACAGCATCAACAACAAGCACCAATCACCATTAGTGGGAAAAACCTAAAGGAAGTTGTCTCTTTCACCTACCCACCTACCTAGGCAGCATCGTTTTAACTACAGGCGGCACAGACACAGATGAGGATGTCAAACCAGCCAGGATCGGAAAGACACCAAGACAGACTTCCATTAATCTGAAATCAGTGTGGAGATCTTCTGCACTGCACTCAGCATGTGCAATAAGATCCGGATTTTTAACACCAACGTCAAGTCAGTGCTTCTGTATGGTTCAGAGACTTGGCGCGTTACGAGAAGCACTTCCGACAAACTACAGACATTCATCAACAGCTGCCGCCTACACTCGTTCGATACTGCAGATCAGATGTTCAGAAAGAATAAGCAACAAGGAACTGTGGGAACGAACCGATCAAGAAGCTATCGTCCAACAAATATACAGAAGGAAGTGGAGATGGATTGTATTGGGCATACACTGAGAAGGCCGACTGGGGACATCACGCGCCAGGCAAGGGCCTCGAGTGGAATGCAAAGGGGAAACGACGAGTTGGGCGTCTTAGCTGAGGGTGATATGGAGGAGATCACGTGAGGAAGAAATGAAAGCGTGTGGGTAGTCGTGGTGCCAGATCCAAAAGACTAGAGAGAAGAGAGTGAAATGGTGGCGTGCTACTGAAGCCCTATATTCCACTAGGAACCCAAGGGGAAAATATTAGTAATAATATTAATAGGTGTAGTACCCGTTTCTATTAATTCTATTAACTACAAGTATTGAATACGGCATAACACGGATGTTTACTAACAGCGTATCGCCACCGCACTTTTATAGCAAACGTTGAAGAGCGCGAAGTGTGCAAGGCTTGGACTAAATGTGTCGAGTGTTCTCAGCCATCCTGATACAAACATCTCAATAATGTACAATGGCTAAGTATTGAATAATATGTTCGAGAAAAGAAATTGAGGTCACTACAGTATCTATGAATGACAAGAAACAACTAGCAAGAATCTTAAATTAGAGCTGTGTAGAAAACTAACCTATTCAGTCAGTATTTTCATTTCAGCACGAAAAATAGAATGAAATGAAGCATGATTGTCATATAGGACGCTGAAAATTGTAAATGTTTCATGTGAATGCTGATTTCTGACCTTTTACATTTCTTCAACAGGTTAAGTCATCTCACTAACCCTGGGAAAAATACGTTTTAATTCAAAATCTATCACGTGTTTACGTTAACTGGTGTCATTACTGCATTGCAGTCGGCTCTGTCCTGTTGTACGACTGTGAAACATGGCCGTTAAAAGTAGAAGATATGAAGCGGTAACAGGTTTCCGATCATAGGTGTCTTTGTTGCATTGTTCGTGTTTGGTGGAATCACCGTGTGAGCAATGTCGAGGTCAGGTGAAGGATACTGAGCGAAACAGGTAGGCGATTGACAAGGCTGTAAACCTTAGTCGACTGAGATGGCTTGGACATGTGTTTTGAATGCCAAGCCACCGCCTACCTCAAAGTGCCAGGTTAGGGGAAGTTGCATTGGAAAAGGACTCATGGTGATGAGACCAAAACGAGACATCAGTCCATAAAGTCCTTGACTGTTGGTCTGAGCCGTATGTGGAGTTGAAGACTACCTGGCTGGGATCCCCCAAACGATAAGAATCAGTGGTTGAGGACTCTTGTTGACATGGTTAGAAATCGGTCGTACTGACCCAGAAGTATTCACTCACTGATGTCTTCCAAAGGTTGAATATTTGCTCTTACATTTATGTTCAGATTGCTTGTTGTCTCATTTAACTTTGTCTACTTTGATATCACTTTTTCTATCCACTTGTTCTGTGTTTACTTCTGTGAACAGGTACAGAAGTGTAGTCAGTATATTGCAGTTATGATGATAGCTTTTAGCTCAAGTTGACAGTGATAATTATTTAGTATTCTCCAAAGTATCTGTTAGTGAACTGCCAACGATCAAATTTCATAGCCATCAGCAGAACACCAGAAAATGATCAGAGCAAATGCATAAACTAGGGAATTATTTCATGCACGTACCTTCATTTGTGAATTCGAAAAAGATAAAAACAATAGTGTGAGCAGGATAAGATAAATCTAATTTATTTCGGTAGGGTCTTGCCAACTGCTTACAACCTAGAATACTCAAATATACAGTTTTACTGAAAATTTAAAATGCTCAAATTTTTCCAAAGAAAACAGAATATCGGTTGGTAGTAAGGTAAACGGAAATAGTCATAGAGTAGAGGTCAATTATAACCGCAAATTCAACGAAAGTTAATAAATGGTGACAAATTGTCACTATTACTGACATAATCCAATGGAATTTTCTCGAATGAAAACAGTAATAAGAGTAGTAATCAAAATTGAGGAAATTAACGATGCAAGATTAGATAAGTAGGTCGTGCAATAAATCAGCAGAATATTGTGAGTTAAGCTCAGTCAGTCAAAAACATCTAATATAAACAAACATTGATTGGTCACAGGAGAGCAACCAATTCCATGTTGTCTAGTCCTGAGTGCAGACCGAATTCTATCGTTCATATTTGCAATATGGCCACCAAACTAGGAGGCTCAGCATCGATAGAATTCGGCCTGCACGTAGGAACAGACAGCATGCAATCGGTTGATCTCTAAAGACGAATTAATGTATGTAACCCAGTCCTACAGGAGGTAAATTGTCCCCCGAATAGCTCAGTAGTAAAGTCTCTTACGCGGGTTCGGATCTCAGGCGGGACATCAATCCCGTTAAGGATGCGTCTTGTTGACAAGCGCCAACAAGCACGAAACCTAGGTCCAGGGCATCCTGTAGGTTGCCTTCTACCAACCAATTAACATCTACCGACATGAACTAAATAAGAGTGAGAGAATAAACATCTAAGATTGATCAAGGATGATGTAATCAGATAACAGTCAGGAGCAGATTACTAAGGTAGACAGAAGTTAACTATGGCTCCGTTTTGAACAAACGAATTAGATTTAAAGCGTTTAGTGACTATAGCTTTAACCAACTTCAGTAGGATTGAGCTTGTTTGTTGTTTATTGTCTTGAAGGAATTGAAGACGTCTGCTTGATGTCCAGTATCAGTAAGATGCTGAGTGACTGCACTGTTCAAAGTGTTACTTCTCCTCAATCATAGGATCTTCGGAATGTTTTCAGAGAATCTATCACAAAAAATATGCAATAATAGATGGCGAAATTGTAAGTGAAATGCCTAACAGCTATTTGTATGGTGTGAGTATGATTCAAATAAATTCACTGAATTCTGAATGGTTGGGAGCATTGTAGTTGAGGATAAAGATAGTCACCTGTAAGGATCGCTATTGGTTTTAAGCATGAATGTTTCATCACCACACCTCACTAATTCATTAACAATAATCTCACATATAATTTAAGGATGTATAAATTGTTTGTATTCTTGAGTAGTAATTATTATTGACCTTAAGAGTTGCTAAATTGTGAGAGGAGAAAATATGTTGTCATATATTTACCCTAAATTTACTAATTCATGCTAGAAAATAACCCTTATTAACTAGCAAATATGATCACCTTTACTGACTTAATGAATTATCATTTATTTGTTTAGTCAGCTTAGAGCATAATTACTTTCTTTCCCAGTAAGCTGTAAAATGTCTGTGTTCGTTTGCGTGTTGACTGGTGTTTCATCTGGTTAGCTTGTAGTTTGTAAGATTTCTTCATTCCTTCTAAGTATATCTTTCACTGTTTGCGCGCATTATGCTCATATGTTAGTTGTTGGATATTTGAAGTGGTCATCTAATCTAGACACTACATTGCTGATTCAACAATACCTTATAGCGTAAGTGCACCTATGGTTCTGTTAGTCTTGTTCT